CCCACTGTACTCATGGTTTGCTTCGTTCTTAACCGGGCGTAAACAGATTGTAAAGTACTATGACTGTCTCTCATCACCCAGACCAATAACTAGTGGAGTCATCCAGGGAAGCGTATTAGGCCCACTCTTGTTTCTTATGTATATAAACGAAATATGCAGCACCATAACATTTGGGAAACCATACTTATATGCTGATGATCTCAAGATAGTATACAGTTATAAGCCTGAGACCCTAAACGAAAGTGTACCCCTGATCCAAAATGACCTCAATGACTTAACGATCTGGAGTGAAAAATGGCAATTACCATTTAACCTCAACAAGTGCGGGATCATGCAGTTTGGAAAGCATCCCTATGAACTGCAACTTGATTTAAATAAAAGTAGAGTCCAGACACTCAAATCAGTACACGATCTAGGGATTAATTACACAAGAAGTCTGAACTTTGAAGAACATGCATCATCTATTATTTCTAAATGTAGACGGCAAATCGGTTTCATAATGAGAAATTTCTTCACAACAGAGGCTAAGCTTACTCTCTATAAAATATGTGTACGACCTTCCCTGGAGTACTGCTCTTTTATCTTCTCTAACATGAATACCACCGACAAGATAAGAGTAGAAGACGTTCAAAAACGCTTCACACGCCAACTGCTAGGAAGTAACTCTAATGCCGATTACACAGATAGATGTAAGCACCTTTCTTTAGAACCTTTATGGCACCGTAGGGTAAAGAATAATTTAATATTTATCTACAAAGCGATATATGGACTCTCATTTCTAACCTCCTGCCCAACTATGATTCACGACCCAGCCTATGGACTAAGAAACAACGCATATACACTACACACCGTAAAACACCAAAAACAAGTGCGTTGTAAGTTTTTTACAGTACGGTATGGTTTATTGCGGAACAGATTGCCATTGCCTATCCGTAACTGTGACACATTTACCAGATTCAAAAGGCTAATAACCCTGTTTCTAGGCTCTAAAGAGCTTCAATCTTTCCTTGAACTCCCGCGCACCAATGAAGCACTTTATTATGGACCGCTTAATTTCTAAACTGAACAAGAATATAACGAGCCCAACTATTATTAATATGAATACAACTAAATTATAGGGCATACGGTTTGCCGTTTCCTATTATTCATTGTGCATTAATCAAGGCCTAATGCTCCTAACCGTCACTTTCAGTTCCCAAATCCCTCTACTGGTTAAATAAACATTTTTCTTCCTAAGTGTCATGTCTTTTTTTTCTATTGCAAGCAGACAGATAACTCAGTAATCTTATGGATGCTGATCTGCTAAGGCCGATCATACGAAGCTCAAAATTGATCAGAAAATCTTGTGAGTTGCTCTGTGTTTTATTTTTCTTACCCTAAAAATTCTACAATTTTATACTCTTTCATATCATTTGATTTGCTACTAGTCCTACTATCTTTAAACCACATATAATCTAACCTGTTTTTTTTTCTATCTTTCACCATTAGTGATCTTCATAGCAGTGTGATATACTAAATGGACATCTAACCCATAATACGAACGCTTTAACTACATGATTTGCTTGTAACATGGAACTAGTAGAGACAGCGTATTCCAACCATGTGCTTTGATTAAAGCAGTATGCATACTTACCGCAAACGTAAGAGAGCCTAACATCACAAAAGGAGTGAGGGTGGCGTTACTGACCAGCAAACATGATGACGGGGCTATAACGAAACCTATTCTAGACCCTATAAAATCTAAAAAAAGGGAGACAACCATTTGTGTATCATAACACTGTTTTTAGCACTATATATTATAACTACATATTCTCATACTCTCTGTTTCTTACTGAACCTCATCCATTTGTCAGTTGATTATCCACTTATACCTTGTTTACACTTATTTTCTTTAACTTATTAGGATGCTCCTGCTTACTAAATACTTTGATAAAAAAGAGTCAGACTGAGTATTCATACCTTAACTATTTCATCATGAACGTTGTCTGCTCTGCTTCTCGTCCTTTTTTGTTTTCTTTTTTTCTTACAACATTTTTCAGCCCCCTTGAGATACGGAAAGTGTGACCTCAGCCTGCACCATCCCTAAAGCCTCAAATATTCCAAGGGATATAAGATTGCGATTTCTAGAAGCCCTCAACTGCACATGAATCTTTTATCGACCATGAGTTGCACGTCGCAACGCAACTTTCATGAAGCGCGTCAACTGTGATAGCGACTAAAACCATTTTACATTCATATCTTATAAATTATCGACCCAGCTCAGTAATTTACTACAGCTGAAAATTGTATCATTTGTGACAATTTGATCTTGTCTGTAAACTGGCATGACTCATGTAACGAGATGTTATTTGAGAATAAATTATAATTATTACCAGTCTCCGGTTTGAACGCAGGACTGACGAACCAAAACGTATTCGAATAGGACAGACTATGCTCTTCTGTATAGCTTACCAAGCGTTTTTGAGACACTCGTATTAAATTATATCAAAACACAAACTCTGTGCTCAATTTATATGGTTCTAATTTAAGAAATAGAACAAATTATATCAAAAATACAAAGTACCTCAAACGGTACAGCCTGTGCTATACAGTCAGAAGTTTCTCTAACGCAAAGTAGCGCGCTAAACAATAAAAGAAACAGTCAATACCAAAGGATTTGATACCTGAGAATCAACAAATATATTCCCAACAAACGGGATCAAATATCTATCTGCAGGGATTCCAGAAATCCTCCCAAGGAGGCAGTCAAAAGGTTAACAGTCACACACTGAGTCACGCCGTGACCTTGAGCTCAGTCAACACGGCCTCAATGTCAACAGTCCGGCAACATGCCATAGTAAATCAGGTAACAAAAGTTAAGTTTTTAATCAAAGTCACATAATAAAAGCTCAGGCGAGGTAGAATGAAGGACAAAAGGTGTGGTTAGACGAGATCTGAACAAAGTTTAAAATACACGACAGGGAGAAGAAACAAGTAAATGACATAACTGTCCAACAAAAAAGGCTGTGGAGGGATTTTCATCGTTCTCTTTCCGTTACAATGACTATGGCAGAACCGTGTTGCGAGTCGATGCAATTAAGGAGTTGGTCTGACTTTTGTCGATCGGTTAGATCTACGCGTTTAAGGATTAATCGTTCAAGGGTTTCGTATGGTTCAGAAACATCACTAGCAAACATACTAGGTGTTACGTACCTGATGAATTCGGGCGGTAGTTTCTTGACTACTGCGAGGAATTGTGCAAGTGTGTCGTTTACACCGTACTCGTAGAAGTCGGCTTCTGCGTAGTAAAACCAGGCTTTGATGTAGTCTGGCCAGAAAGGCATAAATTGGAAAGAAGGTGGGGACATAGTCTTTAACTTAAGTACCTTGGGTGTCTGTTCAGTCGTGGTGAAATATCAAGTACGAGAATGAACGAGTGAGAAATATGTATATATATATATATACATATATCAAAAACACGGAAAAAATACCACAATGTATAAAAAAGTAAAATAAGGCAGCAATATATAAAATCCCAAAAAGGAACAGACACAGTTTGCAATTTGGTGTACCAGATCACGTCGGGCTCACCAATGAAAATGCCACAGGTATTCGGAGTTTGACAACGCTCTAACCAGTAACACCTTTTAATATGAATGGTGCCCACCAAGTGAAATCAAAAGGCAGAAGCGATGAGATCGAAGATATATTTGATAAGCTATCATTATATCGAGGATCGTTTGAACTAATCTGGCCAGCGATTGTGACAGATGTTGAGCACAGCGTTCACATTCGTGATCTGGTGCTAATGGATGTCGAAGACTTACAGAGCTATTTATTTTTTTGATTTATTTGCCGCCACAACATAATATTTCGAAGAAAAATAAAGGTGAATAATAACTTTTGAGCACGGAGTTCGTGCAATCCATCAACCGCTATCCATTTCCGACAAATCTTCGTAAGCAAATGATTGTGGTTGTCAAAAAATCATAATTTATCCCCAAAAAGCAAGAGATTACACTTCATATGCCATTTAACAAGCAAGATCAATTTGTTATAAGCAACTTTTTAGTTCGTTTGATAACTCCTGGACGATTTGCACAAGGCTGCTAGTTTCTGCCGTCTACTTGGTTTTTTAAATAGAATTAACATGAGAACTTACAAACGCAGTGTTATTTAGTTTAATTGAGGATTGTCTGCGTCATATTAGTCTCAGGAATCTTAGAAGTGTTGATTTTCCGCGTTCAGTCGTATAGTGGGAAAATCTGGTTTTCAGAGTTTTTTACTTGTAAAATAAACATTTGTAACGGATATTTGAACAGTCCCTCGAAATGACCTGTCAGAGATTTTCCTTCGTGGTCAACAATACAGTTTGTGCAGTGAAATTAGCTTTAAAAGGCGTGAATAACAAAGATGGCTTGAACGGATCTAATAAAGGTAGTTATTAAGTTACGCACTAATTTATCTAAGTAGTTTGTTAACACGCGAACGATTTGAATTCAGACGGAAAACAATGACAGTACAGACGCAGTGGTATAGGGGTGATCGGATGGTTGATAGACGAGATTGGTAAGGCGGGTAGACGAAGTCTGAACACATGTGTATTAGGTTATTTCAGCCTATGAGACAACAAAACTCAATATAATTATTTTTAAAACTGATTTTCGGCAAAAGTGCATTGAACGTCGAGCGTAAAGTTTTGTTCTTGCTTATCTTCGCGCGCTTTTCGAACGGGAAGTTTAGTCCTAACGTGGTTTGCATTTCTCAAACTTTTGCTGTGTTCTTACGCAACAAAAGTACCATTTCTGATCTAAACAATCTATTCTGAGCTACAAGTTCGGTAGATTACTTTTTTTTGAGTTTCACCCAATTTAATGGTTAACTGCGGTTTTGCCTCAGCTTACTATTCGGTTTATTTTCAGTTTTTCACGTAAAGGCTATTTCATTTTATCTCATCCGTTTTTATACATTTTTCCCGTTTTAGTGTGGTTTTTAGTGTATTTTTAACGGTCTTAAGCACAGTTTACGTAAATACAGCCATGAAAAATTCATGTAAAAGACCTGGATGCCGTTTCGCTGTTACATCTGGCATGCAGTGTGACAACTGCAAAGGTTGGTTTCACGAAACGTGCACAGATCTTACGGCAACGGCTTACAAAAGACTCAGCAAATCGGACCGTAAGTGGGTGTGCGTCACGTGCAACACGGACGCTGTAGTGCTGCTGAGCAATATCATTGTTCTACTGACAGGTCTGCGGAACAAATTGTCAGTAAACTTGGAAACAGATAGCCATAAAATAGGTAGGCAAACGAGGGCGCGTAACGAAAATAAGAACAGGGATGTTGACAAGTCAACCATCGATGGAACGCGCATTAGCACTAATGATGACATGTTGAAACTCAGCACCATCATTACGTCGACAATAATTGATTCCCTCACTAAAATTGGATCTCCCAGTTCAGGGTCCTCAAACGCAACGGTGGTTCCTAAAAACTCGGCAGGTGACTGTAACCACGCCATCAGAGCTAATAAGGACCAGGTGTCACCGTCCAAGGTTGACATCCCAAGTGTTGTACGGACATCAACTGGTGCTTTGATCGCTCAGTCTACCCCCAAAAATGTCCGCCCGGTTATTAAAAAGCCTACGATTCAAAAACCTGCTTCGACCTCCAAACAACAACGTACTGAATCTGAACGCACTGGAAGAGCTGGGAAAACAACAACGGTCCGTGATGACTCCCTCATAATCATGAACCTCATAGACAATCCTGACCTTCCTCTCAGTTTGCAGGACAAAAATGACAGGATGCTTTGGGGTGAACTGAACAAAAAGCTCGAACTCCCTAGAATAGAGCCTTTGACGGTCACACGGCTCACTCGGGGAAAGGATTCTAAACACCAAAATCATCCGAGACTACTCCGTGTAACACTCAAGAATGCTACCGAAGTAGAGGATGTCCTGCTGGCTAGTCATCTACTGAAATCCGATGGGAACGTCAGAATACTGCCTGACATACCATATTCTGAGCGCAATCTCATCCGAAACGTCCCTAAAGATTCTCGAGAGAAGTTTTTCCGCGGAAGAAATATCATCGTGCAAGGTGTACCGGAAAACATGGACCCTACTCAAGCAAACTCTGACATTCGGGAATGGAAATTCATCAAACAGTCCTTGAGGCTTAAAAACATACTGTCTCAGCATGTGATGAGACTAGCCAAGAAGGATGGGGATCCTAGACCCCGACTATTGAGGATAACTTTTCCATCCTCCCATATGGCGGCTGCAACTCTGGAAGCATTTCGTGTCAACAGACGTCGGTTGCCAACTGGGATCCATATGCACCCGGATAGGCCATACGACGCCAGGATCAAGCACAAAGGCAAGCTGGAACTGACCATTCCACTTGTGGACTGTCTTCAAGACAAAAAAAACGTGTAAAGGACAGGGCCTACCAATTAGACAAAACTTATATAGGTGGGTTACCTGTCCACTCACGCAAGGCTCTCATAGATAAACAGGAAGAAGCTCACGCGTTTCAAATTGAAAGCATTAACTGCTTATACATGAACGCCGCGAGTCTACCAAATAAAATGGATGAACTAAGTGAACTCAGCAACGCTAATAAAGTTCATCTGATAGGAATATCTGAAACTTGGATATCTCCTCAGTATTCGGACCAGGAGCTAGCAATACCTGGGATGTCTCTGTTTCGCAATGACAGAAAAACAGGAATTGGGGGTGGAGTAGCCCTATACATAAGATCTGGCCTGGTGGTACATCAAATCCACAACCACGAGTTTGACAATCTTGAGGAATCCCTATGGTGCTCTATGAGATTGTCCACTACTTCGAGGTGCTTAGTCGGAGTCATATATAGGAAGCCCACTGCCGACATCGAGTATGACAGTCGCATGCTGGAGGGACTATCCCGCTCTACGCGTCTCGGCTTTACTCATATCCTGATTCTAGGGGACTTCAATCTTCCTAGAGTCAACTTCGCGGAACATACGTATACTGGAGGTGAAAATTCAATCGAAGCTCGGTTCTTCAACCTCATTGAGGACTTGGGACTACACGAAAATGTGAAGTCGCACACTCGTTGGAGAAACGGTCAGACACCGTCGCGCTTAGACTGTGTTTTTACAAATGAAGAATTTCTAGTCGACAACCTCTCAATTCTGGCTCCCCTGGGGAAGAGCGATCACGCCGTTATAGCCTTCAGTTTCGTCAGCAAAACAGAGCTAAGATATCCCGACAACAACAGGCGCTGGAACTTCAAACGGTTGAATACGTCAGCTCTACAGGATTATCTACAACAGGTGGATTGGGATGTTCAACCTCAACTTGATGTGGATGCTCATTGGGACTCCTTACTGCGCACGCTCTCATGTGCTACTAAGCAGTCAGTTCCTCAAACGGTCCCCAAAAGGCACAAGCAACCTACAATCATCAAAAAACGCACTCTTCGTTTGCTAAGCCGTAAAAGGCACTGTTGGGCAGAATACAAACGAACCAACAACAACGGCGAGTACAGGCAATACAAACATATAAGGAACATATGTACGAAGGCTATAAGAGAAGACAGGCTTCAGTACCAGTTAAAGCTTATGGACAAATTTATTTCCAATCCGAAAAGCTTATTCCGTTATGCAGCCTCTCTTCGTCAAGCCAAAACTGGAGTTTCTCAACTGCTAGGTCCTAACGGCCCGACAGATAATGACGGTGACGCCGCTAACCTTCTGGCTGAGCACTACTCCCGGACATTTCAGCCGACCCACATCAACTATACTGATGTCGGCTCTGTCTGCAACTGCACAGGACTTTCCGTAGTGAAACTGAGTGCTGACTTGGTGTACCGTAAACTACAACACCTAAGAACAGACACTTCTCCTGGTCCAGATATGGTCCACTCTGCTATACTGAGGGAAGCAGCTTTAATCCTAGCAACACCGCTTAGCGTGATGTTCTCACACTCGCTAAGTCAGGGCAAACTACCGGATATTTGGAAGCTGGCTCATATCACACCAATCTTCAAAGGAGGTCGACGCAGTGAACCTTCAAGTTACCGACCGGTGGCCCTTCTCTCTATACCTTCAAAGATCATGGAGTCCCTGGTATACGATGATATACATGACTATCTGCTGTCCTTAAATTTCTTCTCACCCCAACAGCATGGTTTCAGGAAGGGTTATTCCTGTATGACGAACCTGCTGACCGCGGTGGACAGATGGACAAGCATCGTTGATCGCAAGGGGAAGGTAGACATCATTTACCTTGATTTCTCTAAAGCTTTCGATAGGGTTAACCACACATGTCTTATTAACAAGCTCAAACAATTGGGAATCAAACCACCTTTAATTGACTGGCTCAGTTCATACCTCACAAGTCGACATTTTAAGGTCAGGGTAAACTTCAATTTCTCACGCGCTATGGAATGTTCTAGTGGGGTCCCCCAGGGCTCAGTACTAGGACCTCTCCTCTTCCTGATTTATATAAATGATCTTCCTCAACAGGTAACGTCAGACATACTGCTCTTTGCCGATGACGTGAAACTTTGGAGAGAGATACGCAACCAAGAGGACATACAGGCACTTCAGGAGGATCTGACTCGACTTCAAAGTTGGGCAGACAACAACGGACTTACCTTTAACACTTCAAAGTGTAAAGTAGTCCATCTGCGACACGTCGCAGATTATAGTTACAACTTAGGAAACTCCTCTCTAGTAGTATCCCGAGTCGAAAAAGATTTAGGAGTTCTGGTGCCCTACGACTTAAAGTCTTACGCCAACTGTGACAAAAATGCCTTTAGAGCAAACCTTGCACTGGTAACATTGAAGCGCATTTTTGGTCAGTTTGACGGGAGAACTTTTCACATAATCTTCAATAGTTTCATTCGTCCCCATTTAGAGTACGGGAACATAGTATTCCCTCCTACACTCCAAAAGGATAAGGACACTCTGGAGCGTATCCAATGGCGAGCCACGAAATCAGTTCGGGGACTCAAATTTAAACCTTACGATGAGCGCCTCCAATCACTCGACCTTTACCCATTAGAGTATAGGCGTCTTAGAGGTGACATTCTAATGGCTTACAGTATCCTTAACACACCTGGACACCCTCTTAAACACCTACTTAAGCTTAGTCCCAACACTAACCTAAGGGGTAACACCCAAAAACTGGAGATACAACATAGTAGAACGGACTGCAGACACAATTTCTACTCCTTAAGAGTTGTCAAATGCTGGAACTCGCTGCCAGCTGAGCTAGTCCAAGCAACTTCCCAGGAGTCCTTTAAGAGGCGACTTGATCTATTCTTAAGGACTAAGGATAGTATCCTACTATGATTTACCAATTCATTTTCTTTCTCTTTTATCGTTAATATACCTAGGTTCTTGCCTGGCGGTATTGGTGATCCACTGCTACTAGACACGGAAGCCTGTTAAGCGAAAGCTTCTTCTATTCCGTCCGCAACCATTTGAACCATTTGAACCATTCTGTGTTGAAGTTCTGGTCGACCTTGACGAAGATTTTAAAAACATGCCTGAAATGACTTCAAATTCCAGTGGTTTCGACATAATTATTGGCTCATCGGCTGGTTTTCTCAAAGGTATTGCCCCTAAATAAAGCTTACTGGCATAGAAATTTCAATGAGTACTCGCACTTTATCTCCAGCTTCGCTAGTTAAGAATGAAAGCATTAGTACAATGTGCTGGTGTGGTGCATTTGAATCTGAAGTTTGTTAATTTTCGTATGTTATTAAACTTTTATTGGTTCTTTTTGGGTGCTGTTCTGGAAAAATTTATAGTTTGGATGCCGAAAGCCACTCAGTTACCCTTGTCGAGCAATTCTCAAAGTTTCAAGAAGACTCTGTTGTTTCTCTGCAGTCAAATGACAAGTTAGTGTGCGTCTTTGATTATTAAGTCAGATTTATCCTTTCAGCCCACTCATCAGGAGACATTAGAATTTTTTCCTGCGACCTTACTTCAGAGAAAGTACGACTTCCGATTTGATTGTTCACTGATTTTTGTAGTTTCAGCTAAATGCATCAGGCTTGATTTGTTCAGCAAAATTAGCAGCAAACCAAATTATTGCCGGGGGCAAAGAATTAGCCTTGCGAGTGTGGGATATAAACAACCATGGTTCACCGATTTTCACTGCTAAAAACGTCCGCTCTTCTGTTCTGGAACTTTCTGTCCCCATATGGATTGCTGATGTTAGTGTTGTACCTAAGTCTAATGGAAAGCTCATATTAACTGCCTCGAGATATGGTGAGGTATGCTCTCAAACGTCGTTTGTGTTTCTAATGCTTTCCATTTAAATATATCTCGATTTCTCGAACACAAGAAATCATAACCTCACATCGTTCCAGTCACTGGTTTTTTAAGTATCAACTCCACATTATTTATTTATTTATTTATTTGAACACGTCGATGGATGTTAGTGATTGGCGTTCCGTCATCCTCGCAAATTGTTTCGCCCACACCAAACTTCTTGCTGCCAGTGGCTCGGATGAGTTGGAAGAGCTACCGGTAATTACCAGATGCAGCTGCTGCTTCCAGCTCATTAGCATGCTCCGACCACCAGGTTTTTCGATCCTTACGCAAACTTTGCCCGATTTCATTACGTAACATCCTTCGTTTGTGGTCAAACTCACGGTCACCCGGAGTAGACTGACGGGCTTCAATCAGTTGTAAGGAACCAGAAGAAACCCAGTGCTTGTAAGCGGGACGTTTCGCAAACCCACAACAGACTGTACCCGCCATTTTCATGGCGTCATGCAATTGCAACCAATGCTCATTCATACTTTTCGGTGCAATGGTAGCTAGCCTAGAAGCTAGCTCGGTTCTGTACTTACTAGCAACAGAAGTTGCAACCAGCTTGCTAACGTCAATCCTTTGGTGGCGATCACTTCGTTGTCCACTGAAAAGTAAGGTAAGATTGGCGTAGACCAGGGCATGATCAGATTCCAGATAGGTACTCCAAAAGGAGCGGCAGTCTTGTACACAACCACGCCAGCGGTAGCTGATCGCGATGTGATCAATCTGAGTCCAGGCTTGAGATGCAGGAGGGGGACTCCATGTGGCACATCGTCGATGACTGTGCCGAAAGTTAGTGCTAGCCAGAAACAGGTTGTGGTCTGCATAGTTGCAGTAGATGTTCCCCGTTATTCGTCCACATGGGAGAAGATTAACACCTTTTAGGTCTTCCCATCCATGCTCTAACTCTATTAGCCTCCATCATGTGTTCTAGGTATAGGTTTGTCAATCTAATTTAGTCTATGAAATTAACGGTTGAATAGATTATAGTCAGCCGATCAGCTACAACGTTGGACCAGGCACTTATATACATTGGTACAAGTCGCCACACCTCATTAGCACAACAAGATGAACACCTGATTCATAGTAGTTACTTCAAAGGTAGTAATAAATAAGATAGATTGTATACAAGGATATAATACAGAAAGAAAGGATTAGAAAGGAAGGTAAAGTAATTTTAATCTCACGGTTTAGGGGAAGACAAAGTGTATTCAGCGACGCAATTGTGATCGATTCTGAGCCATGCCACCCAGAGTCTCTAACCATTGGTTACGATAGTCACGCGGACCCCAACCTAGTCTACATCTCCGAACATGGTTCAGACTAGATGTTAGTGACTTCAATGACTAACTCCAAGTTTTGGCATTAGTCATTGAAGTAACACTGACGTAACATTTAGGAATCCAGGGTTGAAATGGTTCGTCATTGTTCAGATAAAGCAAAAACAGTCATCCGTCACTATTGTTAGAAGAAACCGATTTTCGGACTATTTAAGTAGTTATTAAACACCGTATTTTTATTGATTCTACTAATCTGATATTTTAATGAGATTATCGTGGTTTTATGTAATGGTGTTTCGAATGTTATGAACCAAAATGGAAAACCCAAGTCTTAATACTTGTAAGGTGCAGCTAGCACAGGGAAAGTACAGTTGAGAATAGCAATTCTATTCATCTATAAGTCCATTCTGTTTCTCTTCATCGGCATTGCCGCATTGTCTTGGTTACTTGTTTATTCATGTTTGCCTCCTGATAAATCTTCTCTTTGTGTTGTTTTGAAAAATTATTTGACAATATAATGTGATGCTGGTGTACCTACTCGGTTTATTTAAATGTAGTATCCTTTATTTGCTAAGTTTTGGTGAAAACTAATAAAGTGGCTTCGTGTTTTAGTTTAACTAATTTTATATATTTATTTCGCGTCTTAAAAGTAGTTTGTGGAAACATTGACTCGTTATTTAGTTTTAATTTGATCTGTACGTATTTCTGTTTCACTACTTATGTTTAGTTGGACATATACGATCTTCGATGTGGCCAACGTCGACCTGTTGCTCGTCATGCATGGCGTACAAGTCGCAAACATGGAAAACTTCATGTTGGTTCCGGAAAGCACAGTGCAGTGCTTCCGGATTTGACCACTACTAGACCAATCACAAAAGCAGTGGCTTACGATAACTCTCCAGGCATAGGATTACGTGTTGTTGCTGCGAATGCAGTTGGTGAATTATCTGTTTTGGATTTAAGACTTCCTCCAGAATATTCTAATTTGAATTTCTCTGATGGCCCTGGTGTTATACCAGTTAGAAGCTACGGATCTCGAGCACCTGACCCACCTTCTGGTGTTCGATGTCTTGCTGGGGCTTCAGGTTGTATAACGCACTTAGTATGTAGTGGAACTGATGAAGAAAATGCATTTCCGTTCATGGAAGCAGCTGTAAATAGTGAACCAGTCATTGTAGCATCTTCACTAGATCGGTATTTGCGAATTTATAATCGCGATACTGGAAAGCGTCTTGGAAAGGTAATACTAAACATACTAGAAGTTTTATTACAAATTTCGTTTCTGTTTTTCCCTTGTTTTGATTGCTGAAAATTTTAATAACAATCACAATTAAGTCCATGGTGTTGTAGCTTAAGATTCAGTGGTCATCTCATTTTTCTGCGTAAATATGATAAACAAACTAGTCTTTTTGACTTGGTAATGGGATCCTCTGAAGATGTTTTGTTTGAATGGGTTTTGATCATAAGCTAACTGAAGAACCACTGAAATGCAAGACCTACTAGATAGCTTTTTTAATCTAAATTCGGCAGCTCTCATCCAGATAATATAAAACACAAGATCTCGCATCGCATTGAGCACGGGAAGTTATATACTGAAACGTTCATGTACTAAATAATCAAGGACGCGAATTCACTGACCGATGGGAAAAATAACGGGTTAGTAAAGGGGGAAACCAGGTTGGTTTCAGACCTTGACGTCGATATGACGACTAGAAATCTGCCCTTTGCTAGCTTCTGTAATATATATTTTCCAACGTTTATCTACTGTTATATTCATTGACCTGAAAGCAACATTCGAATATGTTGTTTGAAAAGTCCTATATTAGTGTCTGATATTCAAAGGCTTAAGAAGTACATCAACCTTGTACAGACTATCTACTTGAACTTATAACCTATAACCAGCTATTATCAGAAATGGAAACCTCAAATGGCGTTCGTTAGGACTGTCGACGTTCTTCATATTTATTTAACTTTGTAATAGAAATTTTCTTGAGAAAGTCTCTTGCATCATCCAATTTTCAGCAATACATCTCTTACCAAGAGGTTCACTTGTTGACTTAAAATACACTGATGACATAGTTCTACTTGGTAAGAACTCTGACAAAATAGTCTTTTGATCATCTTGAGTAGCAATAAAAGTGTGTCTGGAATACTCTTCTCCCCTTCTAAGTGCAGAATTTTACTTCAGTGCTAGTCTGTGTCAACGCTTAAAATTAAAATAGGAAGGAGGGTTGGGCATGGGATCGGCAACATCACATCACGTGGAAAACAACCTTGCCGAAAATGCTAACCAGAATAAACAAGTTAAACCATTTAAACTCTACCCTCCAATTTGAAGGATCTTCTCTCAGAAGAATTATAACACTTCATAGTGAGTGCCAAGATTCTTCCAAAGTCACGAGACCCATGCCTCTTCTAACAAACACATCAATAATTAATATAGGTACATAGAATCCCCAGACAATGTGAGAGACTGGGAGAACTAACCAAATAGCTACAGAAATGAGGAGATACAACTTGGAGGTGCTCGAATTAAGCGAAACATATTGGACCCAAGCTGGACAGATAAGATTAGATTCGGAGGAGATGCTGCTGTACTCTGGTCACGAAGACGCAAATGCTTCACACATGAAGGGAGTTGATCTGATGCTGTCCAAAGAAGCATGAAAAGCACTTGCTGAATGGAAATCTCATGGAACCAGAATCATCAAATCATCATTCAAAACAAAGAAGAAGGGAATCACAATGAATGTTATCCAATGTCATGCACCCACCAATGATTGCAACGACAACGCTAAAAGTTGGTTTTATGAGAGGGTGCAATCGATCGTGGATATGTGACCAGGAAAGGACCTGACCATTCTGATGGGAGACCTAAACGTCAGGGTCAGGGTTTGAAGATATGGGATGACATGAACTAACTAGGAGGAGAGGAAATTGAAAAGGGATTAAATAAGCATTGGTATCAGCGTTTGATGAGGTTCTGGACCGCAAGAGGCATCATCATAAGAAATGGGTCTCTATGGAAACCCTGGACAAGACTCAACCTAGGAAGGACAAGAAGATAACAATTAACAATAGTTAAATAAGAGCGGAAAAAGTCAAGTCACAAACTGAATACACAGAGGCAAACAAAAAAATGAAGAATAGCATTAGAGCTGATAAACAGAAGTACGTGGAGGACCTAACAACAACGTCGGAAAAAGCTGCCACAGAAGGAAATATGAAACTGCTATATGATGCAACGAAGAAACAGGCTCCAGTGCATCCACCGGACAGCAAAGCAGCACACACAGACCTTCTTATAGCTGTTACTCCAACAACAATGGAAAAAATCTGCATTGCCATCAAAAGAATCAAGATCAGGAAAGCAGCAGGATAGGACAGTATACCAACTAAAGCACTGAAGTCAGACATACAAATAAATGCGAACATACTCCACGTTCTATTCAGAAAGATGTGGGAGAAGGAACAAGTACCGACAGACTGGAAAGAAGGACATCTCATCACGATATCAGAGAAGGATCTAAGCGAGTGTGAGAAACACAAGGGCATCACACTACTATCAGTACCAGGAAAAGCTTTCAGCAACGTTTGTGAAGTGGATGAAAGATTCAGTAGACCCTCAACTTCCAGATCAACAGGTCAGATTCAGTAAGTATCAGTCGTGAACAGACCAAGTTGAGACACAACGTATTGTTGTTAATCAATTAACGGAAATGAACTCATCACTATACATCGATATTCTTGACCATGAGAGTGCATTTGACCATGGATAGGATAACCTTATGCAAACTTCTTCAACAGTATGATGTACCTGAGATCGTCAACATCATACGGAATTCTTATGACGCACTACACAACAAAATCATGTATAGAGGGCAGCTGACAGACGCACTCCAAGGTTGCTTAGTCCCACCCTTCCCTTTCTTCTAGTGGTTGATTGGATTATAAAGACGCCAACATCTGAAGGGAAGCATGGAATACAATGGGCAGCTTGGATTCAACTAAAGGGATTGGACTTGGCAGATGATCTACCCTTTCTATCCCATATACACGAACAAATGCAAATCAAGACAACTAGTATATCATCAGTCTCTGCATCAGTAGGCCTCAACGTACACAAGGAAGTAGCAAGATCCTCAAATGCAACACAGAGAACATCAACTTATTCACACTTGATGGCGAAACTCTGGAAGATGTGGAAAGTTTCACGTAGCTGGAAAGCATCATCTATGAACAAGGAGGATCAGACGAAGACGTAAAGACAAAGATTGCCAAAGCAAGGACTTCATTCCTATAGTTGGAGAACATATTGAATTCTAAACAACTGTTAACCAATATCAAAGTCAAAATCTTCAAAACGCACGTCAAGACGCAAGATATTCAATGTCCGTTGGCCGGATACCATCAGGAACAGTCTACTATGGGGGAAACTAAACTCGCTTCCAGCTCAGGAGGAAATCAGGAAGAAAAGACGCTGGAGGTGGATAGGGCATACATTGCAGAAACCATCAAACTGTATCACGAAGCATACGCTAACTTGGAATCCTGAAGTGAAACGGAGAAGAGGAATACCAAGGGACACATTGCTCCGGGAATCGGGAGCAAACACCAAAGAGATGAATAGCAACTGGAAAGAGTGGGAAAGGATTCCCGAGGACATAGCCGGCTGAAGAATGCTGGTGGGCGGTTTATGCTCCTCGACGAGGGGCAACATGCTTAATTTAGTATGTGAGGAATTTCGCAGGCCGTCTAGTATTCTGTGATTTTCTGTTCTTCAGTAGATATCATGCTGTAATAATTTATTTTTAAACTACACGAATTTTCAGGAAACTGTCTTATAAGTACTACATGTATGCCAACTGATAACTGGTTCTCATAAAGATCCTCTGAGGGAAATTCTTATTGAATCATGATTTGATAAAAAAAGAGAAAAAGGGAGCCAATATGTCATTTATTCACTAATAAATTAGTGGCTTGAAGAATTAAAAAAATCATTATTTCTATGTACTACAGATGTTTCTTTTCGATCATCAGATAGTTGAGATAAGCTGGTATCATTACATGGTTTATTTGAAATGAAGTACGCAAAAAGTTATGAATAGGTAAATATTATACGACAGTGTCCCTTACATATTAAGTGCACTCATGGTTTATAACAGTGTAGTAAGGCTTCATAATGCATAGCAATACATATTTTAAAGTCCGTAATCACATATATTTTAGCTTTATTTCTACTTTGTACTCTATGTAAATTTCATTATGAATTAAGCTATTTGTAACGCGTTTTATTACAATTATATTCTGTTTTTTTAATTGTACAACAGATTTATGTAAAAGTCCCTGTAACATCATTTCTTGTTCGTAAAAATGCAAGCTTTGCGAATATTGAAAACTTTTTAAAGAAAGACGATATTAGTGTTTTAAACGAAGAAAAAGTTGAAAGTTCTCACGGCATATCTAAGACAGAACAAAAAGAATTTGAAGACTTGTGGAATCAAATACCAGTTGTCGACAACGATAATGACGGTGTTAATGAAGGCTGTAAAAGGACCACTGGGCTAAAAATTGGTAAACGGAGGCGCAAGAAGTAAAGAATAGTTGATACAGGGTTGTGTCATATTTTGTGTATAAAATATTAAAAAGCAAACAAAATTAAAAAGGACTTCTTATCTAACACCGGTTAAATATTAGAGATGGATTATCAATAACCTTAATTGTAACACTTTGTTCTAGGACTAAAACCATTTTGTCCTAGTTAGGCCGTTTTAAATATCGAAATTCCGTTCATCGGTGCATTTTTTTTCGCAAAACGGTATGCACAAGTTTCACAGTAATTTTTCGGTCGTAATATAGAATATATTTTCCACTGGCTCACTAGCTGGATTTATGGTGGTCATTGCGTTTCCAACCGACATTCATACTCGCCTGTCAATATTGCTAAATCTCACAAGAATCGTAACCCTATGGCACTTTTGATATAATACAATTAGATGTTTAGATCTAAAATTTCTACGAAATAGTGGTTGGTTCAGTTTTACTCATTTTCAGTGCTATTTGATTCTGTTTTAAGTTTTACCACAAGGTGTCCATGTAGAACAAAAGTGGTTTCAGTGTGTGTTCGTGACCTCCATTATTTGTGTCTAAAATCATAGTTACATTAGTAGTTTCTAATGGGTGCTTGTAATTTATGATTTACTGTATTCTTTACTATACCATACATCTAATTAAATTTTAGTTGTGTTTGTTCAACAACAAGCAAATGTATAGCGATTAGATTCCTGGTATTTTGATTAGTACGGCTCAGCTTAGTCACCACAATCGGTAAGCCTAATCACCACATCAAAGTAGCAGCTGTCTGTAAGAGAAGAATTTAAACGATGATGTAATGGAATGTACAAATCAATAAGTTGAATTTGTAATAAGACCAAACGTTAGCCTACTGACCAACCTGTATTAAAAGGGTGTTATTGTTGTACATTTATAACCATGGATCCACTTTTTTGCAGCGAATTAAGTGAGTCTTCGGAAAATCACACCTATCAATCCTGTTGGATGGGTTTTTATGACTGGTTTAGTTTGGAATTAATGTGCGTTACGAACCTACGTCAGTTGGCATACCATTAAAAGCCAGGATGAACTGGAAGTACTAACTGGAGGAGCTCCGTCTTGTCAGGATCGAAATAGTCGTTATCAATGACATTGGATAATACTTTCGCTATACCGCTAATTAACCAAAGTTGGAAGTATGTACCACTGAACGACAACTCAATATCCTATGTTTGATTGCTGTCAGGGTCATAGGTCCTCAATTCAGAGGAGTTCCATACTACTTTGAGACATTTTTTAGTCTGCCATTGTTTTCCCTGCAATCGAATAAGTACAGATACAGAAAAAAGTATATTGTGTCATTGTGATCTGTCGATCAGATCTTACTTTCAGTGGTTGAAATATTCAGTCCCTAAATCAACTATATAATTCAATATGATTTTTGAGTAAACTCGAATTCCTCTAGATTCATAACAAAAGTTGGTATATTGATAACATTTGTAACTGTGTTACTCAATGGTGCAAATTCGCATTTCATAGAGTATCATTCCCCTCAAGTTTGGAGATACTGCCTTGCTGACAAGTAACAACTGAACCGGATAGTATAACTAAATTTCACACAGTGTGTGGTTTGAAATTAAGTATATCAATCTGTAAAGAGGCTTACACATATCAGCCTGTTTACTAATTTCCTCTAATCACAACAGTGAAAATGCTATGTCAATGTCGAGTTACCTAGAGTAGTGATCACATCAAAGAGTAGACAAACATAATATGGGATACTTCTCAACTCTTAATCCGTATAAAGTTCACTTTATTTTAGTTGTTCATATTTCCAATGACAAAAAATTCTGAAGCTTTTCATTCATCATTATCACCAACAAGGTCAATAGATTTTCAATCATCAACTTAAATGTTCAATTAGTTTACTATTCCTGCTAATTTGGCACGCAATGAATATTATGTTGGATATTTAAATTATGATAAACTAATTGATTTACTGATCAACTCATTTAACTGACCATTAATTCCCAAATACGTTCGTTCAATAAAGTGTTTTGTTTTTCCTTTATAATTCTCTTGTTGTTTGAATTACTCACTTACGCCTGTTACTCCTCCTGAAGGAGCATAGACAGCTCACTAGCATTCCCCACCCAACCCTGTCCTGGATGATCCTTTCCAGCTCTTTCCAGTTATTATTCATCCTTTTGATATCTGCTTCTATTTCCGACGTAATGTATTCTTTGGTCTTTCTCTTTTATGCTTTCCTTCATGATTTCAGGTTAGGGCTTGCCCCGTGATGCAGTTTGATGATTTCTGTAATGTATGTCCTATCCACTTCCGACATCTTTCTTTATTTCCTCTTCAGCTGGGAGCTTGTTTATCCTCTCCCCAGAGGGCTGTTGCTGATGATATCCGATTAATTATTGTTCGAATAATCGGTTATTGATGGAACACTGAAACAACCCATAGAATTTATGATTATAATATCATTTGTTAATGTAATGAAACTTTTTGAAACTTCCATACTCCACTATTTATTGCTAAAGTTATGTTTGTCTTCCAATTGTATATAGAAATATGCATCAAGAAATCTTGTATTCATTGAGTAAAATAGTTTTTTCTCTGGAGTAATGTTTATTCTAAATCTTTTTGGAAAAGATAAATTCCTGATGATATACGTACATATACATAGAAGTTTTAATTGAAATTGAAACTTAATTTAAAAGAAATTAAAACATATGGTATGTTTTACGGTTATTTATGAACATGGGCTCCAGTATCTTGAAGGAACAACTGGCGTATGAACCAATCGTTGGTCATCGGCTACCATGGGACTGCATCTCCTTACGATGCTCCACTGCCTTGTGGATCAGATCTGCAGGTCGAAGGCTTGGGGTGTGGCACCCTAAGAAAACCATCTGCTTCGGTTTGGGCACCTGGGCAGTATCACAGCCCCCACACATATCAAATGAGATTTGTGTGGTGCATAAATATTTGGTGCCTCCTTGTACCAATATCTATGTGTTAAAATAAATAAATAAAAACTAATTTATGCAGTAGATATAAATTTCAAATATGATCGTTTGTAAAATTAATGCTTATTAGGTAGATTAAAGTTGTAGGTTTCTGATATACGAGTAATTAAATTTCAACTAATATTATGGTGTGTGCTACTGATATTGATAGTTATAAGTAGTATATATCACCAATCTAAAGTGAAATACCTGGCAACAGAATGTTAAGATCGAACGAGAATGATTGGTATGAAAATCCAAATGAACAATGAAGTCTGAGACGATTGACTAATATTTTGCAAATGAAGTATTTACTGTATGGTTATCAGATTTTACTAAGAAATTCTATTATTTTGTATTCAAATACATTCTATTGTTCTCACTTGTGTTCTCTTTCACTATCATATATCTGTTAGTATCAACGATGAAAATGCACAAATTTTTTTAACTTCTGAATATTTATCATTGGGAATAAATGTTACAGTTCCGTCTAATTTATAATGAATTTCACTAGTTTGATAAAGAAAATTAGATATTTAGATAACAGTTCTGTATTATGGGCAGTATGAATATCATCAGTAGCAAAGTTAAAGTAATTTTTAAATTGTACAGTGTTTCACAATTGGTTTCAAGAAATAACGGATAATATAATAATAATAATACTTAGCTGATAATCAACTTCGTACTGCGATAATAATGGCAAGGTATATTCTGAAGAGATTAGTAGGATGTCTATTTATAGAATAATAAACTTATCTTTTACCTACTTTTTGTTACTAATCTTCTGTTTTACCTTTCTACTAGTGACAATTTGATAAATGAGATTCAAGAATTATGAAAATGTACATCAGAATCTTTCATTAATTAAATTAACTTCTTCCATTGTTTTCTGTTAATATCAGTTAAATTGGTGCTAATTTTTTATTTCTAAAATATAAATATTCCATAGAAGATAAGAATTACTGAACACTTTGAATCTATTTGCTTCTAAATATCTGAAACTCATCAATGACATACATCATAACTTGAAATGAGTATAGATTTCAAAAAGAAGATAAAATGGACGAAACGGCCGTCCAGTGCTTCCAGGTTTCCCTTGGTGGTCTAGCTTCAATTGACTCATGATCTCAACAATTGAAATTATTTAATCGTTTAAAGATCCCCATCATATTAAATGACTAATATTTGAACGAAGACTATTCTTTTCGATAAGTTCTCCAGCTAACTTGTCTGGACTTCTTCAGGGTAATAATAAAAAAAAGTCCAGACATTTAGCTGGACGAAACGTTGGAGTTATTTAAATTTCAATCGCTGAGATTATTTCAAATATAATTTACATATATAATGACTTCTCTATACTCGGCGCCCAATATCTGTTAAACTATTCGTTCTAATCTTGACGAATATTCGTATAAATAATACAAAGATTTGTGAATAAAGATAACAGAGACAATTACAATTGACTAAGAAAGGTGGTAATTAAATTAGGTCATTCGATAGTTAAGATTACTATTGATTAATTGGTCTTGATGTTCGCCAAGGTAGGAGTGGTTAAAGATATTTCTTCTGCACTCATAGCTCCGGTCTCTTCATCCGAATGGCTACTGCTTCAGCCGTTTGAAGGTCTGACAAGTTTTGGCAAAAAATTACTGACCTTATAAATAGTTGAAAAAGATTGGTTTATACTGGTACTATTGTAGTGAACAGAACACACGTGGGGACAATCCAATATCTTTAACAACAAATTACACAACTAATTAGTAAAATCCAACAACCATATATTAAATCGTTAATTTGCAAATTGTTCACCAATTGTCTCAAATGACTCAGAATCTCTTTGTTCTTGCATTTCCACACAAATTGCATTCTTCCTTCATTGTTTATTGTTCGATCTTCTCGTCTCTCTGCTGCCAGACATTCTGTTCAGTACTCACGTCATATACTACTTATGTCTACATAAGTAGCACACGCCACACTATGACCAGCTCGCACTAAGTGGGCCAATATCGATCTGTTCACTTTCTTCA